ATAAAAATTTACTTTGATACTAAACAAAAAAAAGAAAGAAAGAAAAGAAAACCCAGTGGAGCACAGGACTGCTCTGATGTCAGTGAGTGGGAACTGACCCAATGGAAAACAGTAGTTGATAACTGTATTTATAGCAGTTTGCCTTTAACTCATCGAGGCACTATGTTGAGTATTATTTGCTGGTTTACAGTTGTCATTAATTTTCTAACACTGAGCGGGTTATTTTATATATTACAGGTCTCATTGTCTGTCTGGTTTCTTGAATATAACTCTTGAGAATTACAGAGTCACTGACTGATTTTTAGCCTTTATTTTGGGACATTATATATAAATCTAGAGTTTTGATTGTGTTTGTTGATTGATTCCTTTTTAATTCTCAGAAATAACAAGATTACAGTTAAGTTTTTAACTGTTCAGCCTTTTAAAACTGTTAAGGAAACTGGATAAAATAATCTTACTTTATAGTCATAGATACCATATTTATAAAAAAGGAACAGATCCATATTTGGAGGGATATACTTCAACAAACAGATGGTGCCCTGGACACACTCACCAAATTGTGCCAGGATATCTGGAGGACGACTACCTGGCCAGCTGACCAGACGAGATCTATACTTATTCCCATTCCGGAAAAGGGTAATCTGAGAAAATGTGGAAATTATCAAACTATCACTAATACTGCACACAAGCAAGGTCCTTCTAAATATTATCCATAAACGACTTGGACCATCAACAGAGAACTACCAGAAATGCAGACTGGGTTTAGAAGAGGCTGTGGCACTAGGGGTATCATAGCCAATGTCAGATGGATCTTGGCTGAAAGAGAGTACCAGAAGAATATCTTTCTGTTTCATTGACTACACAAAGGAATTTGACTGTGTGGGTCACAACAAATTATAGCTAACCTTGAGAAGAATTGGGAATTGCAGAACACCTGATTGTGCTCATATGAAACCTGTACTTGTACTAGGAGGCAGTCATCAGAACAGAGCAAGGAAACACTGCATCATTCAAAATTAGGAAAGGAGTATGTCAGTGATGTGTCCTGTCTCCATATCTTTTCAATCTACATGTGGAGCTTTATGAGGAGGAATGTGGAATCAGGATTGGAGGAAGACTTATCAACAACCTGTGTTATGCAGATGAGACAACCCTACTTGCTGAAACTGAGGAAAACCTAAAGCACTTGCTGTGGAAGGTCAAGGACTGTAGTCTTCCTTATGGATTGAAGCATAACGTCAAGAAGTTAGAGATTCTCACCACTTAACCAGTTGGCAGCACCATGATGGAGAAGAGGTTGTCACTAGTTTCAGTTTGCTCAGCTCCACAATCAATGTTCTTCGAACCAGCAACCAGGAAATCAAAAGACGAACTATATTAGAAAAGTCTACAGTCAGGGACCTCTCCACAGTGCTAAAATACAAAGATATCAGTCTAGAGACTAAGGTGCGCCTGATCCAGGCCATGGTCTTCACAGTTACTTGGCTGTGTATCAGAGAGCTGGACAATGAGTACAGATGACAGAAGAACTGATGCCTTTGCATTGTGGTGTTGGAGTATTAAACAAACTACGGAGAGGTTGAAGCCAGCTTGATCTCTGGAGGCAAGGATTTTGAAGCTCCATCTCATATACTTTGGGCATGTTGCCAGGAGGGACCAGTCCTTGGAGAAGGACATCATGTTTGTAAGAGTGGAGGAACAGTGCAGGAGAGGAAAACTCCGGATGAGACAGATTGACACAGTGACTACGGTAATAGGGGCAGGTGTGTTGGAGACTAGCTCAGGATAGGACAGGGTTCAGAGAGAACTGTTATATACATAGGGTCACAGGTGTCTGGACAGCACATAACAGCAACAATAACAACCACCAGAAAAATGGGCTTGGCTCATTACTAGAACAGAAACTGGATTGGAGATACCAGTGTTAAAGTACAGTTGTTTCTGTTTCAACAGAAACACATAACAGAGAACTCAGTCTCAAATAGTTAAGTTTCAAGTGCTCAGTCCACCCTTTGCATTGGAGATTTTCAATGTATTTCTAAAACTAGGCTGCCTGGTATGTTGTCACAACTGAGCAGTGTGTTTAGTCATTTATTCCAATAAGCGTGAAGCTGTTTGTATTTACCTTGCAAAGCCAAGTGGACAAGGGCTGGGAGACTAGGAAAATGAAACCAGGGCCCTCTCTCCACCTACAGATGTTTTAATGTGCTTAACATTATCCAATACTAGCTACTGAGATAGTCTAAATACCACAGCAGGATCTGATTAGCTTTTTCAGATCACTGCCTTTATTTGCTGTTTGCAAAAAGGCTTAATCCAGTGCTAGAGATCAGGCTTCCTGCTGGGCTTTTGGGTAGTTTTCTCCTCTTCTTTGTATTCACAGTGGCAGGAATTAGTGAGAGGATTCCTCCTCCTTCTCCTCCTCCTCCTGAAGTAAAGCTAGAAAGTAGTAACTATAGTAGCAACAGATAAAGAGAAAGCAGAAAACCCAAGGGGAAGAAAGAAGCCTATCCATTCATATTAAGGAGTTTCCTTTTTCTATACAAAAGGGAGGGGGGGAGGAGCTTTTTCATATGAATACAGACATACTGACCTCGCTGTCTGTCATGTCACTGCATAGCTATTTTTCTTACGGTTTGGCTATAACTAATTTGAGTAGATGCATGTTACGTTTTTCATTTTTGTTTTATTACATGAAACTAGTTTTACTAGAATTATCAGACAGCACCCTTGTTTTCTCTTTTTATAAAGTCTGGAGATTTAAAAAAAACTATCAACATACACACGAATAAAAAATTCTAACTTTTCTAATTTTTGTAATGTTTATAATTATCCAAGACATAAAATTGACTTGTGTCATTCACTTGGTAATTTTCAGTAAATTATAATACTAGCGTACTATATCGTGATCTTTAATGTGCTTTCAGATCTCTCTTGTAATATATTTGGTCATAGTGCTGAAAGTTTCAGTAACATCATTGTTCCTCTTGGCAGAAAAGAATTAATTCTTATTTTAAAATCTACCTTGGCATTTTGGACTTAATAGTTATATTTCCTCTAAAACGTTTTCTCAGATTCTTAAATTTTCTCCATTTATTTTCAGATGACACTTTCAGAAAAATATTAAACTCTGTAAGGAGATACAGGTACAGACACATACTGGTCTGCAGTGGGTTCCTTTGTATTTTAGGCAGGTTTTGTGGTGTTTGGATTGGTTTGGTTGGTTTGGTTTGTGGTTTTTTTAAGCAGCAGCAACTAGGTTTGGTAGGCAAAAGGAATGTTTTCAGTGAGATAGTGGAAAAATATTAACCCTACAAAATACATCTTCCTCTTACTTTGTGAAGAGAGGCGAGATCATTTGCATTTGAGTGGGCACAATGAGAACATGGCCTTGAGGCCCAAGCCAGCACTCCTTTTTTCCCCAGGTACTTAACAATTCCAATTTTGAGTAGCTGCTGCATGTTTGTGTGAGAAAGAAACTGATTCAGATTGTTTGGGTTGCCCTAACCAAGTTTTATGTCTTCTGAGTTGATGGTCATCTAATGAAAACGTGTGGGCTCTGTACTTGATTGTCCTTTATTAGAAAATCCTATGTAGAAAGGGCAGCACTTTGCCTGCAAGTTTTTTACTTTTCACAGAAATGAAAAAGGAGGTGAGAGAGAGAGAGAGAGAGAGAGAGAGAGTGTGTGTGTGTGTGTGTGTGTGTGTGTGTGTGTGTGTGTCTGTGTTCTGCATCTCTGAAGTAGGTTGCTGAACAAACTATAGATGTCTCCTTTTTTTTAAAGTGGGAAACAGACTCATAATGCCTTGTGGTGTTTGAATTCCAAATGGCTGTTTTTCATAATCAGAAGCCACTCCAGATGCAACATAGCAGCAGCTCTCAAAAGCAAGTAGCATGTATTATAAACACTATTTAATCTAGAATTTTCAAACAAATCAGAAATGACACACGTCCTTTTTGAAGGGACTTTTTTTTTTTTAATCTTTTATATCCTTTAATACTAAAAACTGTCAAGCTTTTCTTCTTCCTAGTGAAGTGAACTTGTTGCCCCTGGACTGGACACTTGACTATTATGCTTCATAAATTATATTAAATAAAAAAAATTTAATAAGTGTGAACTGTATGTTAAGACTTAATGAAAGATTTTTACTTTTAAGAATTGTCTATCAGTATTGGACATGTGCAAGATAGGCCATTGTGGATTTGAAGTTGAAGATGATTAGTTTTAGTTCCACGTATAATTAAGATGGTCATTTAGAGTAAAGTTGTCTCTAGCTGTTTACTGATTACACCTTAACTGAACTTAGTTGGGTTTGTTTTTTTTAAACATCTTTTCTATTTGTAAGCTCTTAAATACATATTTTACTCAACTGTTTTCATCATTTGCTCGATTTGTGTTACTGTCCTGGAACGAATTAACCAGTGTTCTAAACACTTTCCAGGCTTCTCAATATTTCCTAAAAACTAGTTCTGCTCTAAGTTGTGTCTGTCTCACTGGCACCTCATTTAGAAAAGGGATTGCTGATGTGGTTAACTGTCACTTGGACACACCTCATTTTCAGACAGACGTGAAAAGCTAATAGACTAGAGGGGTAGCCTCAAATTTTTGGAAACATACAACTTTTACTGCTTTGAAATAGAATTGGTTTCTTTGTTCCATGCGTCAAAAACAAGAAGGAAAAGCTGAAGTCGGCCCAAGCCAGGTGTTTCTTGTTGGCAGGCTGCTCCCTAATGGCCCTGCTCTTGGAGCAGCTGCCTACTAGCGGGCTTTGTATGGCCTATTGTTGTTGCACACCCCTCGTTAATACACATGCTGCCCCGGGCAGACATCAACTTGCTTATCTCAGAAACCTACCAACCTGACGCAGGGCGCTGAGGTTTTCTTGCATCTGCCCAGCCAACTAATTGTGAGCTTTCGGGCCTATGATTGGCTGCTTGTCCACTCAGTAATAGGTTAAGCAAAGACATTGCCTTTCCATCTGTTCAACCATTCATTGTTGTTCTTGCCTGCCTGCAAGTCTGCAGCGAAAATTGTGTTAAGGAGCTACTGCTGAAGCTGCTGCAGAAACCAATGTCTTTGTATTTTCCTACAAACGTGAGTATCTGTGCTCCTTTAATGCCTTAGAAGTTAACTTCACAAATGGTTCCATGTTGATGTGAATTCTAGAAAGGATAAGAAGCAACACATGTGGAAGTCTGAAATGATTATATACTTCCAAAATTCCAGATATTTTACTTTCTGTGCAATGTTTAAGAAGACTTCTGTTTTTGTGGCCTAGAGTTATGTAAATAATGACTTAGAACTTCATAAACATTTGCAGAACTCTGGGCATGGCCTGTAATCATTTGGTACTTTAAGGACAAGTTAAAACAAATGTTCGGATTATTTTGGCAAACAGTGAATTTCTAGTGTAGCTTCTCATCAAATTCTCATGTTACTTAAGGTGTCGCTGTCATACCTAAAGGGTGGTAAGATTTGATTTTTTGTTTTGTTTTGTTTTGTTTTCTGGATCTAGTTTTGAGAAGAAAGCAGGTGTTTCAAGCAGCTTGTCTTCAACATGAAGATGAAGCATTTAATTGCTGCATCTGTAGTGCCAGTATTCATGGATAGTTTCTCTTCTGCCCATCTCTTCCCCCCACCCCCCACTCTCTCTGACTCTCTCCACACACTGTCTTCCCTGAGATTGAAAGTGTCATTCCGCAAACCATTGCTTTCAAGAGTTGTGTAATGGGGACATGAGGCAAAGACAAAGACTTTCATCCATCAGTTGAGAGGAAAAGAAAGAGCCTAAAGGGTTAAAAAGGGGTTTTCATTTCTACCACATGCCCTATTGTGTGAACATATGCATAAGTCTATTGAAAGTTTTCAGGAGATGGGCAGGCCACCAGTTGCTGGTCTCCTGCAGTTCCAGCAGACATCTGTTGCCCCAGAGCATTAACCAATCTGCTCAAAGGGACATCCTTCCTTTGTTAGCTGGAGGGATGCAGACAACAGCACTCACTGCAATACAATGGTAATTAAATACACAGAGACTACAGCAGTAGGTATTTATTACATATTCATTATTTTATTTTCATTGTTCTCATGGTATTACCATTTGGATAACAACCAGAACCCATTTTCTATGGCACTGAAACTTTACATTACAAGCAAATAAATCAGTTTCACAAGCTTATGGTCTGGTATTCCTAATTAGTATGTGGCTCTTTATGTTTTAAAATGTATATCTGATTTGAAGTGAAGGATTAGCCAGGTTATCTGAGGAGAGCACCCAGGAAGTCTGCTTGCTAAATAAATTTGTAACCATGCAATGAATTTCCGGTAAACACCTATTTATGCCTTATACTTACTTCCAGATAATGCATAAAGCTAAAGAGTTTCTTTTGGAAAATGTCTAAAACTTCTTTATACTTCATGCAAGTTTAGTGCATTTTCAGCAGTTCTAATTGATCAGTCTTTAATTAGACCATTGACAAGAAATATTGTTTGGAATTTCAGATACAGTGTCTAGAGATTTCTATGTAGAGAAATATGTTCTCCGATTATTTACTTCTGCAAATACCTTTTGCATGCAAGAATATAACATGAAAGATATAAAGTTTAAAAGTTAAACCATATAGTTTATTACGTTTTCTTAGTGTTTTGGGTTTTTTCATTGTGGTTTTTTTTTGGGGGGGGTGGGTTTTTTGTTTGTTTTGGGTTGGTTGGTTGGTTGGTTTTAGAACCTAAGGCATATAGACTTGTTGACTGACTTTATATGTGAAAATTTTACTATGCTGCTTTTTAATGAAGTAAGTAAAATTCCTCTTGTTAGTAAATATCATTTGCAGAACTTTTTATTTGCATAAATGCAATAGCTTAAAAGTCGAATTGGTTTGGAAATTGACAAAAAAGACAGCTACTGTCTTATAGAAGTTGTACCTTTTATGCTGTCACTAAAATCCTTTTCCTTGTTCAAAACTGGATCATTTGCATCTCTTTTAGAATAACTCTTTTGTAAGTTTTGCATATTTTGTTACATTACAAAAACTGCAGCCTATGAAAACTTTTTTATCAGTTATAAATCTTAAGATTAGCATTTAATTATAGAATGATTTCAAGATACTCCTAAATTCTGATATTTTTAAAACAGTCTTATTAAGTCCTGTTAATCTTTAACTACTTGCAGGTGGCTAATGAAGCATTTTAAAGATTAAAGTTTAAAAAACCAAATCCTTATCATCTGAGCCAATATAAATCGGGCCTATCAAATTTGTATTATGTGATAGAAAATACATGTATCTTGTAAGCCTGGTGATAGAACTCACTTGTCTTTATTCATGCTTTTGCACATTTTGTCTCTTGCTTTATATGTTCAGAAAATTGGCTATTTAGTACAAGATAGGATTGGATAACTTTGAGCTAATCCGTGAACTCTGGAACATGAAAATATGAAGAAATACCTATCAGTAGAAGGGAAAGTCCAGCTAGAATACTTTAAAGAATACTGCTTAACCCAGTTAGATGTTGATAAATTATTGTTCAGGCTTATCTTTATCCTAGTCTTTTAGGATAAAAATCATGTTAGCTCAATTATTGAAAGCCTTTTAGTTAAGTGTATAAAATTTATATGCATTATCACCTTATAGTTATGTGCTATTGTCATCCAGTTGAAATTTATCTTGTGTATTATCTTAAAAACACTGATAATTTCATGTTTTTCTTTTATCTTTATAAACATAATAAAATTATGTCTCAGAGAAGTTTTAAGGCATTGGCCCGCTTTTAAGACTGAGATTAAGTAGAAAGATTTACTTCCTTTTCATTCAAAATGGTTAATTTTAAAAACTTTGATACCTGATTTCATTTTATTAAAAACATCAAAGTTAAGAATCATTTCATGTACCCTTTACATATAATATTTCATTTCTGTTTTCATAAAGCATTCATTTGGTCTAATGTAGTCCAAAAGAAAAGCACTAGAGCTCAATATTAAAATAATATTTCCCAAATCAATTCAGCAATTTGGTCAGTGAGTCATTATCTTGAAGAATTATCTCACAACAGCACTTATGCAAAACCCAAACTTTTTAGGGGAGATCAAAAATGTTGGCCATTAAATACACTTCCTGCAGTCGGAGCAGATTGTAGGGTTTACAGAACAATGATGTCGGAGCTTCCAGATTGGTTTGGCAGCTGCATTGTTCTCAGAGGGTAAACCAGACGTACTTAAGTCCCAGTCTCTTTTATAAGCTTTTGTTCATACCAAATTATTCTTTCACTGTGCTAGCATTCATGATGGCATGTTAAAGGAGTGCAGCTTAGCAACCAGCTTCTGGTTGCCAGGCAGCCCAGCTTCCAATAGATTCTCCTTGTTTAAGATACTTTTGGTGGAAGCGCTAGGAAGGCCACAGTGCAGATTTTTCTTTTAACTGTATCCCTTTATTAGGATGCTGTTGTGATTTGTTACTTGCATTATGGTGTCAGTATATTACAGTAGTTAATAAATCACAGAGTGTAAAGACTGGCTTTCAAAATCCTTTCCTTTAATTCTAAATAATTGGGCTCATGCATATCCATATTAATAGAAAAAAATGGAAATGGGAAGCTTCATAATGGAACAGATGTCTATAGGCCTCTCCTCAGGGATATAGTAATTTTTATCATTTGTGCAATTAGTAGCTATGAAAGTTTGATTTTTTTTTTTAAAGATTAAAAGTACTGTATTAGTGGAACAGCAGTACTAAAGTGACCTGCTTACTCCAAATAAGGCCTGAAAAACTGCTGTGAAGTATATGAGAGTTCTACATTGAAGGAATTTTCAGTGTATTGTTCATCAAACTAAGAATCTCGTAACTATGGTTATATTAACCATAACCAATATGGTTTGTTTCATTATGAAGAAATACTTCCTCTTTATTAAGTTACCAAGTATGCATTCAAATCTGTGACTTCTCGGAAAATAACCTAGCATTTTTCTTTTAACACTATATAATAGCTCCTTTCTAGTGTAAATAAGATGTTGAAGAGCTTTAGAATAAAATATTTTCCCAATTTTCTTTTTTAGATTATTTAAATAGATGTTTTATGACAGCCTAAATTCATCTATTGCTGGCATGCTAATGCTATCCTGGATTTAAACAAAACTGAGAAGCATACCATTAAGTTAATTGCAACTCACAACGACCCCATAAGGCAGAATAAAACTGCCTCATAGTGTTCCTGAGGCTGTAATCTTTATGGCACATATCATCATATCTTCTTCCGGTAGAGTCATTGGTAGGTTCAAACCTTTTAATTAGTAGATAAGTGCTTTACCACTGAGCTACCAGGACTTCCTAAGAGGCAACCCCTGTCAGAGAAAATTATTATAAGTAGACTGCTAAGTTGTGTTAACTGTTGTGGATATAGTGAAGGGTAAGAGGAAATATATTTCTTTTTCTAGTCTTTTCCTAAGGGAACTATGGTTGGTGGCTTGGCATTAAGCAGCTATGCTGCCAGCCCAAAGGCATGCTGTTTGAATGCACCAGCTGTTCTGCGGGAGAATGACGGGCTTTCTGCTCCTGTGCAGTTTACTGCCTCTGAAAATCTGCTGAAGGGTCAAAGATGAGTTGGTTCTGACTCAACATTACATAACATCAGTCTGTTCCTACAGTTACTGTGTCAGTGCATCTTGTTGAGGGTCTTCTGCATAATGGGTATGTCAGAGGTGGTGTGGGTGGTGCAACAAGATCCAGATCTGTTGCCCATAGGGTCGCTATGAGTCAAGTTCTACTGTCTAACAACATTACAACAACAGCAGTCTGATCCTGGGAGAGAAATAACAATTATAGGCATCCCTCATTGTGTTGTCCCTTGCATATTACTGCCTTTTTTGTTTTTTTTCTAAGCTGAAGGTTTGTGGCAGCGCCCATTGAGCAAGCCCATCAGAGCCATTTCTCCAACAGCATGTGCTCACTTCATGTCCTAGCATCCCATCTTGGGAATTCTCACAACAGTTCACACTTTTCTGTAATGCTCTTGTACACTGAGTAGATTACCATCTAGTATAAGCATAACTTTTCTGTGTGCTTGAGTGTGGTGGTCTGGAACTAAACTCATGATATCTCCAAGGTGTGCCTGTATTTCTAATAGACTTTAAGAGAAAGCACACAGCAAAGGCATTTTAAACAGTAAACACATTTTTACCCAGGGGGAAGGGAATGAGAGAAAGAGAACCTTTCCAGTGAAAGGTAGATAATGGTTCATCTGGTGCAATCAGAACTTTCTGCCATTATATTTAAGGGCTTGTGATGATGTTATTGTTGTTAGTTGCCGTCAAGTTAGCACCAATTCTTGGTGACCCTGCGCATGCAGAGTTAAACTCAACTCCATACACAGGGTTTTTCAGGGTTTTAGTCTTTCAGAAGTAGATCATCTCTTCCAGGGCAACTCTGGATAGGTTCAAACCACCAACCTTGTGGTCCAGCATTTAACTATTTGTGCCATCTAGGGAATCCTATGAAATTCGGATAACATTTATGGCTCTTAATTATTAAATGCTACTAATTTTATGTGGAGTAGTCTTATTTCCTGCTTCCCATAATGTACCTAGTATAAAATGGCTCCTCCAACCTCACAATGTTTCTAGTCTAACCAAATAGAACATGTCAAATCTGGTGGCACAATCCATAGGCAAGTGAGCTACTCATCCAAAAACCATGCATCTCTGGGGGTTCAATCTACCAGTGGCTCCAAGGAAAAAAGATAGGCAATCTCTACTCATATAGTTTATAGTCTCTGAAAACCCACTAAAGTCTATGAGTGAATTCTAATTCAGCAGCAATGAGTGCGTGATGGGTGATGTTCGGTGTACACTAAATAATTAGAGTGAAAACTTGAAATGAAATATAATTGACTTTGTAATTATTTTTCATTAGATATTTTAGAATACATAACCCTGTCATGGTAGCATCTAGCTTACTTTTAAAACTTCTTTAATAAAGTTGATTCAAATTAATGATAATTTTCAAGTATTGTAAGTCAGCACTTTCCATTATTTTTACAGGGGGTTGTATCTCAAGGTTTTTTAACAAATTTTTATGAATTCTTTTTGAGATAATATACATAACCTGTCATTGACATATCTAAAGTATTAATACTATTCTTTGTCACTCGGGAAACACAAGTTTGTCTAAAAATTGAAAAAAATCTATTATGTCTAGGTTGCATTTGAGTTTTAGTGTCAAACAGGACTGGATTTTTTTAAATCCAGTTCCCCACTACACGAGTCCAAAAGGGGCAGTTACAAAAAGACAAAGTTAAGAAGATGGGACGGGACTAGAAAACGGGACATAAAGCAACAGAGAACCTAAGGTGGAAATGGGGGGCTGTATGCCATGTCAGGAACCAATTGCTGTAAATTAGGAAATTAGGAAATGGGAAGTTAGTTTACTCCATAAACTTAAAACTGCAATAAAATATTTTTTTAAAAAATGTAAGAAAACCGTTCTATTCATTATTCATCATTGCCTCATTAATTTCATCTAAAAGTGGAGTCTTATACTACCTTTGCAAGCATATTAGATGATAGGATGTAGACAAAATACATAATCAGTATTGGTAATCTCATGGTTTTCCATAGAAGCACTGAAGACAGAAATGTAACTGGAAATAGAAAATCCTAAATATTCTCTGTTTTCCCCTAGGAATACGGAGCACTTTGCATTCAGGAATACAGAAAAAATAGCAAAGTGGAGTCAAGCACACGCAACACCTTCATGGGCTTGAAGGATCATCTGGGGCATGACCTAAGCCACCTTTATGTGGAGACCTCTGACCCACATCTAAGCGCAGCTGTACCTTGGCCAATGGTCGAAAAGCCAACAATGGATAAAGTTCATTCCGGAAAGGAAGATACAGAAAGGGAGGCATCTGAAGAAAATGCCAGCTCTGGTGACTCTGAAGAAAGCACAAACTCGGACAACGAGTCAGAACGGTTGAGCAGCATTTCCGTAGAGCCATGCCTATTAACCAAGACTCATAGACAACTGTGTAGGTCTCCCTGTTTAGAGCCCCACATACTAAAACGCAATGAAATTTTGCAAGACTTTAAAACTGAAGAGTCCCAGGCTCCACCCAAGGAAGTGAAGAAACCCCCCGACATGGTACGAGAATACCAAACCAAACTGGAGTTTGCACTTAAGTTAGGCTATTCAGAAGAACAGGTTCAGCTTGTGCTAAACAAACTTGGTACCGATGCTTTAATCAACGACATTTTGGGAGAGCTTGTCAAGCTTGGAAATAAAAGCGAGACTGATCAAACCGTTAGTACAATTAACAGTGTACCTCGGGAAACCTCTTCCCTGGAATCTCAGCGGTCAGAATCTCCAATGCAAGAGATTGTAACGGATGAGGGTGAAAATCTGAGACCGATAGTTATCGATGGCAGCAACGTAGCAATGAGGTAAGTGGTGGAGGGGAATGTTTTTGTGAGAATTGTTGCCAAATATTCTTTAAAATGTATTTCCAACTTTGTGACCCACTTCCAGTCATGAGTAAAGTCAAGAGTATAGTCTACATCCCAGCATTACTTAACATTTTTTAATTGTGTCTGTCATCTGCGTTTTCCAAGAGCTCTGGTGGCCTAGTAGGTAAGGAGTTGTGCTGCTAACCCAGAGTCAGGCAGGTCAAATCCACCAGCTGCTCTACAGGAGAAAGATGGACAGTCTCCTCCCGGGTGATTTACAGCCTCATAAAACCCACTGGAGCTATGAGTTGGTTCTGATTTTACAACAACGACTTTGAGGTTTTTGTTTTGTTTTTAAATTTATTTTATATTAGTTTGCATACAAAATTCATATACATTGTGTTTCATACATTCCTCTATTCACATTGTATTTCATACAATCGTTCCCATACATTGTACTTTATAAAATTAATCACCATTGATCCATGCCCACCATTTCCCAGCCTTTTCAGGTGTCCCCACGGGATCTTTCCTAATTCCTTCACCCCCACCCTTTGCCCACCAAACTCTGGGACCTTGTGATTTCCCCCCCTCCCCACATTCAGTTCCTCTCTTCCCTCTCCTTTGTTTTTTATACTTTTGTACCCATCTTCATAGTAATCCTTCTGTTTTTACACTAAAGGTCTTATGCAATACTTGTCCTTATGAGACTGAGTTGGTTTACATAATGCAATCCAGGCTTTCCTATGTTACATAGTATTTTTCAAAATTATTCCTCTTGAGTGCTGCGTAATACACCATCATGTGAGTATACAGTTTCTCAATCCAGCCTTTTGTTGATGTACATTTGGGCTGTTTCCATTTTCTTGCTATTGTGATATGTGTATTGTATATGCTGCTATAACTGTCAATGTATAAATTGTTTGCTTTTAAGTTCTGTTTTCTTCAGGGTATATTCCTAGGCATGAAACAGCTGGATCATATGACATTTCTTACATTCTGCTTTTTGAGGAAACTACCTGCCAGGCTGGTTGTACATTTTATAATCTCACCAAACAGTGTATGTGAGTTCCTATTTCTCCTCATCCTCTCCAGCATTTATTGCTTGCTATCCTGTTAAACTTTGCCACTGCTACTGGGATGAGATGGTATCCCATCGTGGTTTTGATTTGTGTCTCTGTTATTGCCAGTGATTTTGAACATTTATCCAAGTGTCTGTTGGCCATTTGAATGTCTTCCTCAGTGAAAAGTCTTTCCATGTGTTTTGCCCATTTTGTAATTGGATTGTCAGTCTTTTTCTTGTGGAGGCCCAGGGGTATTCTATAAACTTTTGTTATGAGACCCTTGTCTGAGATAGCATTGCCAAATGGTGTTTTTCCCAGTCAATAGGTTTTCTTTTTGCCCTTTTTGTAAAAGATTTCGATGTGCACAAGAACTTAATCTTTAGAAGGTCTCATTCATCAATGTTGTCCTCTCCTGGTGGTGCATTTCTGGCTGTATTTTCCAGCCTTTTTATACCATAGATTAGGCCTTCTAAGTTTGGTCCCATTTTGTCTCTTAGGGTTCTTACCATTTGGGGCTTTACCCTTGGTCTGTGATCTACCTTGAGGTGATTTTTGTGTACGATGTGAGATGTGGATCCTGTTTCAGCTTTCTGCAGGTTGTGATTGTTGTTGTTATGTGCCATCGAGTCATTTGTGACTCATAGTGACTCTATGTACAACAGCCCTAAACCCTGCTCTATCCTGTGCCAATCGCACTGCCTCTGACACACCCATCCCAATCACCCCAGTCACTGAATCAGTCCACCTCATAGAGGGTCTTCCCCTCTTGCACTGTCCCTCCACCCTACCAAGCATGATGTCCCTCTCCAAGGACCTGTCTCTCCTTACAACATGTCCAAAATATGTCAGACGAAGCCCCAGAATCCTTGCCTCCAAGGAGTAGTCTGTTTTAACCCTCTCCAGGATGAATCTGTTTGTTTTCTTGGCAGTCCATGGTACATTCAGTACACTTCTCCAGCACCACAGCTCAAAGGCATCAATTCTCCTTCTGTCCTCCCTAGTCATTGTCCAACTCTCTGATGCATAACAAGTGATTGCAAAGACCATGGCCTGTATCAGGCGCACCTGAGTCTCAAGAGAGACAGTGTTGCTCTTGAGTACTTTAGAGAGGTCCCTAACAGCAGACTTTCCCATCGCAATACGTTTTTTTTATTTCCTGGCTGCTGGTGCCAAGAGTGTTGACAGTGGAGCTGAGCAAACTGAAGCTGTGAACAATCTCAATCTCTTCGCTATCCATCCTGATGCTAGCAGTTGGTCCAGTGGTGAGAATCTTTGTCTTCTTGACATTGAGCCTCAGTCCATACTGAAGGCTGCAGTCCTTGACTCTCTGCAGCAAGTGCTTCAGGTCCTCCTCAGTTTCAGCAAGCAGGGTTGTGTCATCTGCATAACGCAGATTGTTAATAGATCTTCCACCAATCCTGACGCCACACTTCTCCTCATAGAGCCCAGCGTCTCGGATAATCTGCTCTGCATACAGGTTGAAAAGGTGTGGAGATAGGACACATCCCTGGCATACACCCTTCCCAATTTTGAACCATGCAGTGTTACCCTGCTCTGTTCTGACAACTGCCTCTTGGTCCAACTATAGGTTTCGCATTAGAAAGATCAAGTGTTCTGGGATTCCCATTCTTCTCAGAGGCAGCCACAGTTTGTTATGATCCACACAGTCAAACGCCTTTGCATAATCAATGCTTTCAGCTAAGATCCATCTAACATCAGCTACAATATCCCTAATACCACGACCCCTTCTAAGCCCAGCCTGGACTTCTTGCTGTTCTCTGCTAATGTGCTGTTCCAGTCATTTTTGGATAATCTTCAGTAGAATCTTACTTAATCATTGTGAAATCAATGATATTGTTCTGTAGTTTCCACACTCAGTTGGGTCACCCTTCTTTGGAATGGGAACAAATATAGATCTCTTCCAATCAATTGGCCAAGTGGTTGTTCTCCAGATTTCTTGGCACAACTTGGTGAGCACATCCAGGACAGCATTTGTTAGCTGAAATATGTCAATTGGTTTATCATCTATTCCTGGGGCCGTATTTTTCTGCAGGTAGAAGTCCAATTTTGACAGCACCATTTACTGAAGAGGTTGTCACTTCCACATTTGTTAGGTTTTGTTTCCTTGTCGAACACCAGCTAACTCTAGGATGTAGATGGGTTAATTTCTGGGCTCTTGATTCTGTTTCTTTGGTCTGTGTGTCTGTCATTGTACCAGTACTAGGCTATTTGTATTATTACAGCTGTGTAGTAGGTTCTGAGATCAGGGAGTACTATGCTTCCCACTTCATTCTTGTTTTTTCTGAAGGGCTTTGCTTATTTGGGATATCTTTCCTTTCCAAATAAACTTGACAATAACCTTTCTATCTCTTTGAAGAATGAATTTATTATTTGTATTGAGTGTGTATTAAACATGTAGATTGCTTTTGGTAGGATTATCCTTTTCACTATATTGAGCCTTCCTCTCCATGAAGAGGGAATACTTTCCCTTTTATGTAGGTCTTTTATTGTTTTTTACAGCAGTGTTTTGTAGTTTTCTTTATAAAGGTCTTTTGTGTCTCTCGTTAGGTTTATTCCTAAGTATCTCAATTTGTGGTTAACTATTTATTGTAAATGGTACTACTAGGAGAACAAACAGGTTTGTCCTAGAGAGAGTGAGACCAGGCTGCTCCTTGGAGGCAAGGATTCTGAAGCTTCATATGACATACTTTGGACATGTTGCAAGGAGGGACCAGTCCTTGGAGAGTGCTGTCATGCTTGGGAGGGCGGAGGGACAGCACAGGAGAGGGAGACCCTCAATGAGATGGATTGATTCCATGACTAGGGTAGTGGGGGTAGGTGTGTCAAAGACAGTAAGATTGGCCCAGGATAGAACACGGTTTAGGGCTACTGTACATAGGGTCGCTGTGAGTCACAGGTGACTCAGTGGCACATAATAACAATACACAGACAACAATTGCTTTCTTGGTTTCTTTCTCTAAGTTCTCTTTGTTACTATTGAGGAATCCCACTGATTTTTTTATATTGATCTTGTATTATCCTGCCACTCTTTTAAACTAGTTTTTACTAGCTCTAGCAGGTTGTTTGGGTTTGTTTTTTTTTAATCCTTGAGGCTGAGTTCAGGTTTTCTGAGTCTTAGTTTTCTCTCGTCTTTACTTCCAAGACATGCATCCTCACCCATTCACTCCTAAATAGAGACACTTTCTCCAGTTAAAAGAGTCCTGGTGGTGCAGTGGTTAAAATAACTGGCTGCTAACCAGAAGATCAGCAGTTCAAACCCACTCGCTACTCTTTTGGAAAGAGATGAGTTAGTCTGTTCTTGTAAAGTTCCACAGTTTGGCTTCTCTACTTTGTCCTAGGGTCTATGTTAGTCAGAATCTGCTCAACAACATGGGCTTTGGATTCCTTAAAAAGGTCTCTCTCTCTCTCCTCTGCTAAACTGATATGGTATGAAAATTACAGTGTGCTGTGATAATCACTAATATTAATGAACTTGAGTATAACAAAATTCAAAAATGTCTAAAACTACCAAAATAAATAGTCTATTTCTCCATGAAGTTGAATAAGGGAAAACCATAATTCTTTTTGAAAATTAACTATTTTTAGTGATTTTTTTTCAAACTTTGCAATGCTGTGGTTTCAAGTTTTTTATCCTATCTAAGAACTGCAATTTGCAGATAATTGCAACTTGGGGGCTGAGGAAGGGGTAGGTAACTAAAAGCAAAGCAGTTAATAAACCACTTGTTCACATTTAAAGTGCAACTAAATTCAGTCTATATAGTTAATTTCCCCAACTGTTCAGAATACTGTAAAAATACAAAGATAAGTAAAGGTAATAAAGATATAAAAAAAAAGATCTTTTTTTTTTTTTAAAAAAAAGAGCTTTGAGTTTCATATACTGCTTCTCAGAGGAAGATTGGAGGATCCTTACCA